AACCTCTGATAAAATAAAAAATAAAAAAAATCCCCGTTCGCACCTCCTCATCAGAAGTCAACAGCGAACCATCCACCCGAATCTGACCAATATGATTGCCCCTCCTATGTGCATTGGCCGTTCGGTGAAAAAACTTAATATTACGGTCACCTTCTTTAGGCCACAAAGCCAGAGATTTCTGCCGCCACGAGATCTCCTCCATCACCGCAATCTCAGCACATTCAGCCTGATAGGCAGCTCTCCTAAACCGTTGAGACTCCTCAAGGCCTCCCGCCGCACCCAATCTATCAAACTCTGTAATATCAGTGAGAGCCCTATTTTTCCTCCACTCCAGATTCCCGAACACCTCCTTATTCCATATTTTAATTTTATCCTTCAAAATACGAAGCTTTCTTGCAAGGATAAAACTCGAAGTACCCACCACCATGTCCTCCTCCCACCAAGTCCGCACCAAACCCCGAAAATCCGCCGCTCTAAGCCACATATTTTCAAATATAAACGGAGTGCGACAAGGGCTCAAACCTCCACAATCCAAAACCAAAAGGAATGTGATCTGACGTCACCCTAGCCAACGCAGCCTGAACTGCATCCGGAAACTACTCATCCCACTCTCCGTAGTTCAAAAATCTATCGAGGCGTTAAAAGGTAGGCATGAAAAGGTAGGCATCTCCCTACCACAAGACCAAGTGAAACCAGCTCCCTCCAAAGGGAGATCAATAAGCTGATGACCATTGATAAACTCCAAGAAAAGCCTCATAACCGGAGTCCATGACCCACCTGTAGACCTCTCCATCGGGGATCTTACCACATTAAAGTCACCTGCCACACACCAAGGATGAGGCCACATCTCCTGAACCGCATTAAACTCCTCCCACAACACAGGCCTCTCACAGTCAGCCACCGGCCCATAGACACTTGGAAAAGCGCAAGGGAAGCCATCCTCTTCCACGCAAAGGCACAAGACAGAGAGAACCACCCCCTACACACATCCACCTTATCCATCTATCTCCTATCCCACATCAAAAGAATACCTCCAGAAGTCCCAACTGAATCAAGCGCTTCCCACTCAACGAACCTACTACCCCAAAGGCTCTTGACAACTCTATCAGTCATAGAATCAATCTTCTTTTCTTGGAGACACACCAAATGAACCCCCCATTTCCTCATAGCCATCTTCACCACCTTCTCTTGCCCGGGTCATTGAGGCCACGGACATTCCAGGATAGAAATCGTAGCTTCATGGAAAAACAACAGCGCCCTCCACCCCCTACCCCTCCCTCCCTTCTTAACACCCCCCTTCACCTTCTCCCCCACAAAAGCCCCATCAAAATTCACATCACAGCAGAGATTATGCAGCTCCCTCTCCACTTTCCAAGAGGGTTGAGTCTTCTTCCTCCTCCTAGAAAACTGAATCATCTCCCCTTCTTTCCCCTCAACTGTAGCCTGAAGAATAGCTAAAGCCTGCTCCCGATTACCTTTGCAAGAAACACCCAACAAATCACTCGTAGGCCCTATGTTGTTCAAAACCCAGTCCTTGCCAAGATCATCACACTCCTTCCTAACAAGGTCACCGGCCATCCCCTCCGGATGAACAACTGCCAGAGGGTCAACCAACCCCAAATCCGAGAAGCTCTCCTCCTCCCACAAGACCATATCCAAGGATCGACACTGATCCTGCCATTTCCTGTCAGCCTCCCCTTTCACGCCATCCTCAATCACATCCACACAGGTCTCCCATTCAGCACCACTATCCACCCCACTATCATGAACCACATAAAAGGATGCTGAATAACACGAAGGCACATCAGTCAGGCGCCTATGTTTCTGTAGTTCCTTCACCAACAAAGAGGCTGATTCCTCATTGAGAACGATACGGGTATCCTTTCCCACGCAAACAGTCATCAAGTCTGGCTCACAAACTGACTGAGATGGCACCAATTCATCCCCCTTAGGAAGACACAAGCTGAGGCTTCCCCATCCCCCCCCCCCCCCCCCCCCCACACAAATGTCAAACCCAGACATAACCATTTGATGAGAAGAAAAGGAAAAATCCGAACAAGAATCCTCCGGCCCTTTGCTAACACGATCCGAACCCCCATCCACAAACAAACCGACCGTCCCATCCCTTTCTAACGGTCCAACAAACCCACACCCCAAATCAGCCGTATCCACAATCACATTGCCCACCTCAACCACTGGTGAAAGCCTCCGTGACATACCAACAAAACCATTCCCCACCTCCTTCCTCCTCAACCCACAAGAAGCAGAAGAGAGAGAAGAATAGAAAAGGAGGAGTTACAAGAACAAGAAGGGGGGGGACTTACCCAGTTCATGAGTGTTGCGGGCTACCCATTTTTGCTTGTCCTTTCGGGTCCATCTTCTACTAGACTTATTAGACCAACTCGACACATCCTTCTTGAGGGAGTCATAGTTGCGAGTCTCATCCTCACAAAAGGAGCTTGACTGGAGCAACCCAAAACTGTTACCAAATAGCAGATTCTGACAACACACACCATGCCTGAACGTCGTCAATCTCAGACCAGATCCCTTAATCGCATTTGAACGAACGAACTCACAGAGACCCAATTCTCCTTTTCCGCCTAAGACCAGTGTCTCACATCATCCTTCGGTTGCTTCGGAGCAACTGATTTGTGAGAATCGCCTTTAGAAGCTGTTTCAGAAGGTGGCTTGGGCTGCAGCCCATTAATGGAAATAGAGAGGCTTCTATTTCGGCCCCAGGCAACTTCTCTAGGCAACTTCTCTAGAACTAGAATGATTGGGCTTGGCAAGAAAATACTGAGAAGAAGAGAGAGGCTTAAGAATGGACCTGACCTGTCCAGCCCAGTTCATGGCCTGCGAACCTTCAAGTCCAGATTCAGAAGAAAATGAACACCCAACCGAATTGGGCCCAAGATGCCCAGCCCTGCCATCAGCCTTCAAAGCAACTTTCCTAGGCCCACGTTGGTTAGGACCTTTCCAAGTAAGCCCATCAGAAGAGGAATTCCCGACCGCCTCACGTGCTAAGGCAGGTGTGCCCTTAGCTGGATTCCACTCACAACCGGGCCGGGGGGGGGGGGGGAACCGTCCTCCAACCACGTGTCCCACAAACCAGGTGTTCCATCCCACTCATCTCCGGTGCGTGGAAATGCACTCGCCCTTTTCCCTGCTTCTGGCAACTTTACAGAGCCTTTCTATGAGTCACCGGTTCACGCCCACCACCGAAAACTGATATGTGAGACGAACAAGCCCCCCTATCCGTCACCTCCAAAGGATTGAAAACCTCAGATCTAGCACAAAACTTGGAGATCGGCTCGAGAGAAGGGGCGATTTCCTCTTTGAGAGAGATGCAAAAAGCTCGCTGACTATCCTCCACGATAATAGACTCCGGGATCACACCACCTTCATCCACAGTGATGACGATCCTCTCCGTATCGCTCATCTCAAACGCCTCGACGTCCCGGAATCCACCACACAGGTCCCCACATCAACGAAAAGTTTCTGACACCAAAGGTGAAGAGGAAGACCAAACACAATGACTCTCCCACATTTAAACTTCTTTCTCAACCCAGAACACCCAACCTTGTAGAACCAGTAGTCAATAAACAACTGAGCCTCACCCCATGTCTTCTTTCCGTAATCAAGAACCTTCACAGCCTCCGTGACCAACGGGAAGCGAAACAGCAAAAGCCCATCAGGCAAAGTAGAAACCCTAATGCTAGCCGATATCGACCAAACCCTCGTAGCCCAATCTTCAATGTTCTCGAGAGACCCCACCTCCCTATCAAATCTCCCAACAAGACATGCCCTAAGCGTACGCTCGCGAGAAGACGTGCTGCGATTATCCACTGAAAATACGAAATCACCAAAGGAAGAGAAGCACTCCACTTCGCCCTTCAAATCCAGACGAGGAAGACTAGCGACCTCCAAAAAAGACGGCCTTTGACCATCGAGAGCTCTCATGAAATCAACAAAAAACCACCCCAAACCACCGCAAACACCGACACCAATAGAATTTCTTATATTGTTGTTAATTTGACACATAAGAGCCTTTACCGAATGCTTAGAGGACAATAAATGTTTTTTTGTTACTTGTTATATCTTTGGAGGTATCAAACAATCTAAGCAATGATGTTTTCTTATCCAATCCGATATTTAATCTCTTTACATATATAACAACAATGAAATCTGATCATACTACAACTTTCACATGTCGTGCATACATTTCACTTGCAATATTACTGGTATCTACAATATCATATTTTAAGGATTATGAAGCGGCATAACTCTAAAAGGGAAGGGAATGGTATTTACTATCAGAAGCACTAGTTATAAAACCCAGTAAGCAATGTATTCTTCATGTGTCCGTATTTATTGTGTGAAAGCATTAAACACTAATTTAATTTTCATCTTAGTATACTTCTCAAAGGCGGTGGTCATGTCATGGAATGCACTGCCATTAGCACGATTTGCGTTAGGTATAATAATCATACTAATGTGAAGCTCATATCCACAATCAGGTCTATGGAGTCATCATTAGCAATATATATACACAATATACACACGCACATACACAAACTACTGTAAATTGACACAATTTACTTTAGGTATAATAATCATATCAATGTGCCAGTCATACCCACGGTCGGTACAGGCCTATGGAGTCATCGTCGGCAATATATACACACACAAATGTATACAAACTACTAACACGACTTAGTTTAGGTATAATAATCATATTAATGTGGAAGAAAATTTAAAATTGGTAACTACATTTGCAGAGAAATTTCTCAACCTTTCAGAGCTGCGGCTAAAAACATGTAGCCACGCAGATGAAAATATATGTAAGTTTGAAATCATTGTCGCTTCAAGGGAACGAGCCTGTAAGGAATTGATTTATCCCAACGGCCAGATAAAGAAGCTTTGATCGAAAAGCAAACCCATTTCGTAAACAGAAACATAAAACTATAAATTTTAGCACGAAATCAAAAGCATGTGCGTACCTGTTTGCAAGACCACTGACAACGAACTCAGAACCTGTGCACGAAATTTCCTCCGCCCGCCATGATACAATCTTCGAGCGCTTCTTGTAGACTAATCGCAACAATTAAAAAGACAAGAAACTACAAAGATCCGAGAAATAGCATATTAAGATCTCGAATTAGCCGACGAAATATACATACATATATATATATATATATATATATATAATATTGCATTAATTCGACGAGGTAAGGGTCGAGTCATTTGATTTTGAACCATATATTGGATTAGAGAGAGAACATCAGGAAATGAAAGGGGGAGATCAAATGATTTTACCTGAGAAAAATATGGCGGAACGAAAACCCTAGTTTTCTCTAGAAGGTTTTGAGGTCGCACCAAATACGCGTGCACTGATAGAAAGGGATTACTTATACATGGAAGACGAGGCGAACTGTGTGGCGAAGAGGTCGGGCCCACCTGTTTGACGGCTGAGATGCTTTGGGTCTGTAAGGACTGTTTGGATGCTTTCGGCTTTTATAGGTAGTTAAATTAAGTTTTATGATCCGAAAAAAGAAAATTATAAAAGGATACATAACTTACCTTTCATTTTGAAAAGAGATGGGAGGGAGGTATTGTGTAGTTGATTGTGGGAACTGAAATGAATTTTTTTAAGTGATAATTAAAATATTAGTTTGAATGAATTTTAATTGGTGAAATATTTTTTAAGTGATAACTAAAATATTAAATTTTTTTATTTTTTTTATTTTTAGCCAGAATTCCATGATAAATTATGTCACTGTTTAGGTATTGTTTCATAATTCAATTCAACATTTACATTTGAACTGATTCATCTCTTATTCAATAAAGTGTGTTAGATAACGTAATTCGAATATAAGCCTCTTATCAACGGATCAGTGGTCTAGTGGTATCAGTTTCTTACCCCCCAAAAGGAGGTCGAGAGTTCAAGTCTCAAAAGAAACAAGTGTGTATAAAAAATAATAATAATAATAATAAAAAACGTAATTCGAATATCACTCAAAACTATAAGTGATACTTAAAATGGTGTAAAGTTTTAAGTAACGAAGATATAACACTTATTATTGAAGGCTGAAGAGTAAAAATTCAAATATATTTAAAAATATTTATTTTTTAATTATATTTAAAAAACTTCAGCATTTAAAATTAAATTATTAAAATTTTTAGTTTTATCAAACAACGCCTTACTGGCTCCAACTTATTCTACACCTCTTAATTCATTTCACACAAAGTCGGACTAGAGTCAAGCTCAACATGGTCTTCTTTTCTCGCTATATAAAATTTTCAATACTTACAATTTTACTCCATTTTAAGTAGCACTTACCTTTTTAATTAATATTCAACTTGTGTATCAAACGCATTTAATTAGACAAACGTTTTATCACCTGAATTAAATGATCAAATAACACCAAATCTTAACTTGGGGTGCATGAAAGAACCGTGGAACCGGAATCAGAACCGTGAGAACCGGACCAATTCCGGTTCCTAAAATAAGGAACCGTTGAGATTCGGTTCGGTTCTGGTTCCGATTCCGATCGCACGATTCGGCTTCGGAACTGAACTGAACCGTAATATATATATTATATATATTTGATTATATTATTAATATTAATAACTCTAATTTATAAACCTTTATAACAAAATATTTTTAGGGCAAATCATTTCAACCTCCTCAAGCGCCTCCATCTCTATTCTCGTTCTCAACTCTAAACTTGCCCCTCCCCTCTCTCTCTCTCTCTCCGTCTCTCTCAGCAACTGCAATCTCTCTCTTTCTCTCTACAACTGCAAATTACAAAATCTACAAGAATCAGAAGTTCAAAACCCATATATTTTAGATCTACAAAATCTACAAGAATCAAAAGTTCAAAACCGATATATTTCAGATCTGTCTGCAAGAATCAAAAGTTCAAAACCCATATCGGCATATCATTTCAAGATTGCTCAAAAAATCAAAACCCGTATCTTTCAATTTCCATCGCCCGCTGTTCCAGTTCGGGTTCGCCGTTTGCAAGCTTCAGCCGCTGTTTCTCAACTCTCAAGCTTGCCCCCCCTCTCTGTGTGCAACTATTAACTCGTATGTATGGGTTTTCTTTTAATTTGTTTTCTAAATCAAGGTCTGTAACTAAAATAAAGTGTAATCTTATTTTTGTGTACGCATATATATATATATATATATGTATATATATATATATATATATATATATATCAAGGTCTGTTATTCTTGATTTCTTGTTTTGTAATCAAAACCCATATATTTTTTTTTTTTTTGCGAATGACCTTTCATATCAAGCCTTGGAGAGAAAGAGGGGTGGACCGTGGCTGGAGATTTGCGAAGCACTTGTTAAGGATTTAGCCGCTGTCTCAGCAAAAGTCTTCTCAGATCTGGTCTCAGTTTAGTCAACGGTTCCACTGCTCACGATTCCGGTTCCATTTGTTAGGAACCATTCAAATCAGTTCCAGTTCTAGCAGGAACCATACCGAACCGAACCGTGTGCACCCCTAATCTTAATTTTTATTAAATAAGTTTTATATATTTTAATCAAATGCAGACTCTTTTTATTTTGGCTTAAAAGTGTTAGACGTTCCTGAGAAGACTTACTATTTATCTTTCGGAAGAGGAAGTACCACTAAATCCATAAAATAAAATGAGGTATATGACTTTTGTGTTTGGTATAAAATTTTGGAAGAAAAAAAAAAGGAAATGGAAGGACAAGGAAATAAGTTTGATAAGTAAGTTTTGTTATCTTCCCGAAAATGGGAGGAAATATTAACATTTTTAATATTAAATTTGTCCTTAATTCATAAAGACAAATTTGAGCCTATTTGGCTGGGCTTTTTGTAGCCTCAAAATGGGTTTCTAAGCTCAAAAAGTCCTTTGTCAATAATAAATTGCGTTTGGTAAATTTTTTTAAAACGGACTTTTAAAAAATCTCAGTGGTTTAGAAGTCCAATCAATCTAATAAAACATGTTTCCTCATCGACTTCCCGCAAGTTAAATACAAAATTTATATATTGTCCACTATTTAACTTATTTCCATTTCTAAATTTCATTGTAAACTTTTATCAACGATTTAATAAAGGAAGAACAAAGAGATTGAGGAGTTGGAGGAAAAATTACTATTGACTCATATTTGATTTCAAAGTCTAAAGAATTCCAAAATTTATGAATTCTCATTCAAAATTCAACCCTATGTATATATAATTTTTTTTTTTCTTTTTTTGAAGGCTACCCGTTCAGCTGTTAAAGTGATTTATAGTTATAATTAAAAAGGTAAAATACACTAACACCCCATAAGGTTTGGCATAAAGACAGAGAGATGAAAATTATTCTACTTTTGGACAATTAACTCCCTCAAGTTTGATAAAATGGACAAAGACACCCTGACAATAATGAATTGACTTTGACTTAAATACAATTAACAAATACAGTTGAACAAATAAGTTTAAATGGACTTAAATACCCTCTTCAGCTCTGTCACCAACCCAAACACACCCTTCTGCAACACATTTCTCATAAATCTATTAAAGTTCGGTGAATTCGAGAAAACCCTTTTGGTATACCAAGAAATGTTATTGAAATCAATGTACCCAGATGAATATAGATACCCTTTTGGTTTGTTTGCCGTTAACGAAAGAGTGCAGGCAGCTGAATCAAACTACAAAACAAACATATGCTCAAAGAGGCTTTTTCGGCTAAAAAGGGCCAGAAACACAATTGCCTTCACTGCTGAGTCCACTTCTTCACCTCCCAGATCTTATTTTTTCTTTCTATTTGACTTTGTGGAAAAAAAGATACATCAATTGGAAAAACCAATTAAGAAAAGAAAGTCCCAGCGATACATGCTCTAGGTGGTTGGTTCACAGAATCTCACAACAAAGTGCAGGCACTGAATGAATGAAATGTGTTGTCAGTCCATATTGGCACTCTAAGCAAGGACCAACTCCAAAGACAGATCAAGATCAAGATCGGGCTCTATGTCGTTGCCGAAATCGGAGAGAATCAACTGAGTTGCAAAAACACTCACTGCCGCCCTCGTCGAACAACCATTGCCACTGTCGCCGTTAAGCCCAACGCGTGGTACTTTCACATGACTTGTGTACTCCGTCGTTGGGTAAGCTCACCGAAGTGGTCTCTCTTCGCCTGTCCATTTTCGGCAGTTCTGTCTTCCAAACAACCCAACTTAGTATACATAGAGTGTAGTATTCACAGCCAAATCATCAAACAAGTTACACACAACAATTAAATTATGAACAGATCTTCCCAATTTCAAAAAGTTCAAATCAACACTTGCTCTTAACAAATTTATTACACACACCGAGTCTAGTTCGATTCTCTCCATTCTCATTCTCTTAAAAATCTAAAATCCCTCATCTGGATCACTACTTCGACATGCCTCGAAAATCAAAGAATTCTCTTCAATTAATCAGCTTTCCATATATACATCTCTACCAATGCACTACCCAATATATCATATGAATCAAATCCTAATTTCATGACATGCCCATGAATTATTTTCCCAATTTCGACATATGAGAGCTGAGAACATGACCTCAACACAAAAGGGTATATATATTCATTTGGGTACATTGATTTCAAGAATATTTCTTGGTATACCAAAAGGGTTTTCTCGAATTTACCAAAATTTAATAGATTTATGGGAAATGTGTTGCAGAGGGGTGTGTTTGGGTTGGTGACAGAGCTGAAGAGGGTATTTAAATCCATTTAAACTTATTTGTTCAAGGGTATTTAAGTCAATTATATTTGTCAATTTTTTATCAAAGGGTAATAAAATCAATTCACCATCGTTTGGGTGTCTTTGTCCATTTTATCAAACTCGATGGGGTGTAATTGTCAAAAAATAGACAACTTTCATTTCTCTGTCCTTATGCCAAATCTCAGGGGGTGTTTGTCCATTTTATCAAACTCGAGGGGGTGTAATTGTCTAAAAATAGGACAATTTTCATCTCTCTGTCCTTATGCCAAATCTCAGGGGGTGTTAGTGTACTTTACTCTAATTTAAAATAAAAATGGGATATTTTTGCTTCTATCTCTCTCTTTCATTTTATTTCTCTTTCCTTTTTTTTTTTTTTTTTTCAACTTCTATCATAGCCAAGGAAATAAAAAAACTTCTAGCATTTGTATATCTTCACTATGACAATTAATCGTTGCGACATCATTGGCAATTTCACTCCATCACTTTAATTATATATATATATATATCTATATATATATATATATATATATATATATATATTCCTTTCCTTCTTTGTACATTCCAATTCAACTATTTACTATTTATGTTAATAGTTAAAACAACTTCAAAAAATTTACCCACCAAACTTTTTTATTTTAAATTCTTTTCATCAAAATGCATTATTCAAAGCCGATTCAGTGGAATGAATTTTAGAAACTGAAAACTTTTCCAAACAGGGCCAAAATTTATTAAAAATCAAGTGATTAACATTATCCTTTCTTTTTTTTTTTCTCTCTTAATTAACATTATCATTTTTTTACTTTTTCATTGTAGCAAAGGTAGCCTAAAAGTTCACCCTTTATATATATGGATAATTTCACTTACCTCTCCTGAAATTAGGCGTAATTACAGGCGGTGCCCTTTACGTTTCAAAAATTACATTGACCTCCCTTCAATGTCATTGCCGGTTTGTTATATTAGAAATTTTTATGAATGTACTAATATACCCCCATATTATATTAATAATGATAATTAATTGTCAAATTACTCTTTTACCCTAATAATATTTTTCCCGGAAAATTGAGCTTTCTTTTTTGTTTTGTTTTTTTCTTTTTCCTGAAGTTTGACCTTCTTGATCCCTATATTTGCAGAACATATTGTCTGAGTCATCAACTTCACCATCGCCACAACAAAGCCATCATCTTCAACAAAGCCACCATCTTTACCGTCGCCACAACAAAACCATCTTCACCGCTACTCCGACGGTCATAGACACCACCACCGCCATAACACAATTTGTCAATTACTTACCTCCGATGATGTCATGGAACAAAAGCAACGACATCTACGGCAGGTGACGGAGGCTTGCAAGTGTTCCGGCATTAGAGAATGGTCCGGATCCAAAATCTGAGACCCTGCTCTCTCTTTCCAGCTCGTACAGTAATTTTATCGCCGGATCGAAGAGGACAGCCCATGAGCCGACGACAAGCTTGAAGGCAGAGTCGGCGAAGGCGAACTTGTTCTTGTCGGGGTGAAGGATAAGTGCGAGCAGGCTACTTCTTGGTGAGATCGACCTCGTCTGAGCGGCGGTCGACCTGAAGGATGGAGTACCATCCAGGTTGTTGTTGATGCGGCGATGAGGACCTCAGCGTCGGCTATCCTCTTCGTTGCCGTCGCCGAGTGCTTGTCAATTGGTGAATCCGAGATTTGCAATTTCTTGTTGCTGCCGCCGTGTTCTGCGGTCGAAACCCCGGAACGGAAAGTCACTGGCACGCTCTTTGGATCCGTCCGAGACTTGTAGCAATCCAAACCATGGGTCGGTCCCGGAGTGATTCCGGTGGTGGATGACGGCTAAAAAAGAAGTGGGTCAGAGACCAGATCTGTAAGAACTCAACCAAGAAGGCATGGAGGAAGAAGAAGCAGCCGTAACAAACCACAGATCAACAGAGGGTGATTTGTTGTATACATACATACATATATATATATATATATATATATATGGGTAAAGTACACTAACACCCCTTGAGGTTTGGCATAAGGACAGTTAGGTGAAAGTTAGCTCTTTTTGGGACAATGACACCCCTTGAAGGTTCAAAAATGGACAAAGGCAACCCATGCAACCAATTGGCAAAAAATATTGACTAAATTGCCCTTTGACTCTACAAGTTAATAAATTGGACTAATCTACCCCTATGATCAATTTATGCATCTCTACCGAACTCGCTGCCGGCTCTCTCACCATCACATCACCGGCTATTTTGTCCTCCGGTCTTGGTCTCGGCATGGAGCCTCTCTGTTCACAAGCTTTCGGTGCCAAACGTCCAAACCTTCTCTCTCTACACCTGCATTGATAGAGGAGAAAAGAGAGACCTCCTCAACGAAAACCACCAACAAAACCCAGTCCCGCAGTTCAGACTTCAGATCCATCTTTCTTGCTCACCGTCGCCAGTTTAGAACCTTGCTCGTCGATCTCCTCCTTGCACACCCATCACTGGAATTGTGACCGCATATCACCACACCATCATCGCCGATTCAGTTCGTCCACCTATTCGTTGACCCATCAGACACAGCTTCGCCGTCAACCATTGCGGATCTCTATCAGATAACACAACAGAGATTGGCTAATTAATTTATTTGCTAAATCAATTTATTTATTATAGTTTTAGTTTCTTCAAGCTAGGCATTTAAAGACTCAAATTCACGCACATACGTGATTTTCTAACACTATTTTTAAATGGAAACAGAAGTATAATGTTGTGAAAATATCAAACCGTCACAATGTAGCTGCATTTCTGCCAAATTTTCACTTTGCTTCGCCTTTTAAACGCGTTAAACTCCTATGAATTTGGGAAATATTCAGAATTTTATACATGATGTATATACTCCTTTAGCAAACTCTGCAATTAACAAAGGATTTGATCTAAATTCCTACCTGCTCTGCAAATTTCCTTTTGTGGTTATCCGCATATCTATGTTATCAAGCAGAGCCTAGAATCAGTGCCATTCAATTCTTCCACTTCTATGAATTACGACATTTATAAAGCCAATTGGATTTAGCACTTGTTTAAATTATTATCTTGACTAGAAGAAAATGAGAAAATTGTGCATGTTTTTAATTTGGTTTTGATAAATATTACATCTGCCGGTCATTATTCTGATCCTCCCAATGAGTTTCTGCTCGAAGCCAAGCTGCTGTCTACCAAAAACACAAAACACAGCTACCACCATAAAATAGTCATTTGTGAAAATAAGAAATACTGAAAAATTTTCAAGCCTTAGAATATATCTCATAAATAAATAAATAAATATATATATATAACTCACCCAAAATTCTTCATCGATTAGCCACAAAATTCCCGAACTCAATTATATTTTATTGAATGAACTCTTCTATTTTCTTCAGCTTTAACCCTCATTTTCTCTCTCTAAAACTATTCTCTCTCTCTCTATATCACTCTCTCAGCAATCCCTCACTCCTTTTCCCATTCAGGGGCAATTTCGTCCTTTTAACAGGTCTGTTCTTTTACCATAAATCTGAATTTAATATTAAAGGGCAATTTTGTCTTTTCATATGATTTAAGGCCTTGTTTGGATGGAATTTTTTTAAGGGGGTGTCATTGTCCCAAAAATAGCTAACTTTCACCTGAGTGTCTTTATGCCAAACCTCAGGGGGTGTGAGTGTACTTTACCCATATATATATTATGTTATATGGTATTTATATATTTGTGAGGAAAATAGATATAATGCAAGGGCTTTTTGTCTTTTTATTATGGGTATATAGGTTATTTTACTACAGAAGTAAAGGTTAAAATGTCTTTGCAAATATAACGAGGGCAAATGTGGTATTACAAGGTTAAAAATAGCTGATGTCATCAGAAATCATCATTGACCGGCATTAACTTTCATCGGAGGGGACAAAATATTCTGACGGAGCAAATTTCGAGAGAGAACGGTATAATTTTTTAAACATAAACGGTACCGCCTATAATTACCCCTAACCTTAAAAGAGGTAAGTGTAATTACCCCTTTATTTATATACAAGGAGGTGTTGTTTTGAAAACTTACTGTTATTAACTCAAATGGGGTATTACAGAATTTAACCCAAGTAGGATAAGCCTCTGTGTGCAAATGATTGCCAAACATGTCCCCACTGTAATAGCTGAGTTATGTTGCGTTGAGTTATAATAGCTGAGTTTTGTTGCGTTGATTGCAAAAATGACCGGAGTTTATATATATATGATTTTGTTTCTTTCCCTTCTTTTCATATCATGTAGTATTTCTTTTTGTGATATATGTATTTGTTTTTTTTTTTGGGAAGGTGATATATATGTATTTCCCTTCTTTTCATATCATGTAGTTCTTCGTTTTGTGATATATATGTATATACATATTGCCCTTATAGCACTAAGGGATCGGATCTAAGGGGACTTTAGTGGGCTCAAGCCCATCCATTTTTTTAAAATTTTTTTTTTTATTACTATAGTAAATTTTAATCCAACCTCAAAAAAAAAAAAAAAAAAATTTATTACTAGCGTTAACCCACTCAAAAATATGCTAGCCACAATTGCTGAATTCACATTTGGTTAATAAATTTTAATCATATAGGTACACTCTGGTCTAGTGATGAAATTGGAAACATCTTATCATATACATACCAGAACTATGAGTTGAAGATTCGTGCTTGGTGAGAAACAAGTAGAAAATATATTTACTATGTTTTAGTGAGAAGCAAGTAGAAAAGCAAATATATATATTTTTCCCACTAAGAGTTGAACATTTTGTGAACATGTTTACAAATTTGAAAAATAAAAATAAGATTACCAAGCATATTGACCTATTTATGATTTTTTTGGCATTTTGGAAACAAAAAAACAGAAAGTAGAAACATTACCAGGCGCCATTTTACAGTCCATAAATACAGAGCATAAAACATCTGAAGATTAGTTGATTTACCATCAACACTCCAAATTGAATTTAGACACCAAAAACAAAAGCTTCTTTGAGAGAGAAGCTAACCGGATCCTCACAGTAATGGTGCATCTACAGTAAGTAGACTTTTCTCTAGGAAAAAACACCACCTATTTAAGACATGAACATATTCAATTGTTGGCTCTCATATCCTTCACTTCTTGTTCCTATCATCCTTGCACTGCACACTAACCATCTATAACATGCCTCGGTTCCAAAATGTCCCAATTTTTAAATTAAGGTTGGTGGTAAGATATATTCTATTTCATAAGGGTAAAACAGAAAGCCAATACAACTTCGGAATACAAGTTCCATAAAAAACTACAAGTCTTTAAGGTCATGAACAATACCAGAACGATTATTCAATAACCCGTATCTTCCAAATTTACAATACTAGGGTTTCATGAGAAGCAGAAACAGAATCACATCATCACCACCGTCGTGAGGACAAAGAAGGACAACTACATCTGCTGCGCACCATGGTTGTGTAGCCAATCATCACTACTGGTTTTTAAAGGACTAGCAAATACAAGATGTTATATAGTTAGACAGATAGCCTATTATACCAAACAGTTTTATGAAAATACAAGATCAATAAGAGCATTCTACCTCAAAATTCTTTGACAGATCCTTCATCTGCTCGGCAAGTTCTTGCTTCTTCTTTGCAGCTGCAGGTAACAAACAATTACCAATAACATCGTCAGCCTCAATGCAAAGGAGTCTAGCGTACAACAAACTATTTGTTGAATTGAAACAAAAAATTGGAAAGAAAAAAAGAAAAGAAATATATATACCGATGTTAGAAAGATCCTCCATTCTCTTTGATGATCTCACAGCGAATCTCTGGAACGTAGGGCTGAAAATCACAGATACATGATGACTTTATGGCTAAATCAATTGCTCAAGAGCTCAATCAGAAGAATGAAACAACAGCAATAAAACACAATGAATGATTTTTAATCGCATAACCATAAAAGGAACAGAAAAGCTCCTTTTCTGCTTAACGAACACATCCATTCCTGTCAAAACCAGACTTGAACCTACAACTCTCCCGAGTAGATACATTCAAACTAATAAACGAACAATTTCTGGGTTGTTTTTCAACAAATAATTTTGTCTTTAAATAAGTAAAATGTGACAGTTAAGTGGTCACATGACATGCTATCGGAGACAGCTGAGCTACAAAATACAAGAAAAGTGGCTGGGACCCAAACAGTATAATGTGAAACCAATTACAAAAACATGTTTCTCCCAAACGTCCAATTACAACATAATGGCTGCAATGGATAGCGTGGGAGCATTCTTTAGCTTCACTTTGGACAATACCATAGCTTGAACTAATCAATTAGGGTGTACTGAATAGATCAAGACTGCGAAGCATTGCAATATTCTAACAAAATTTTAATTCAAACAGAGAGGAAAAGAAAGACAAAAACAAAAAATCCAAAAACCAAGAGAATAACACAAGACTAGAACCAAGCAAGGTGGAAGTACTAAACAAATCCACACCTTGAATCCAAAACTCCACCGAGGTCATTTGTCAAAGATTAAAATTAAACCTCAGCCCCTTAGATGTTAATTAGTGCGATCATATCCGCAATCGGTACAGGTCTATGGAGTCATCATGGGCAATATATACACAATATATGCACACACATAAACAAACTACTGTAAATTAACACGATTTGCGAATAATAATCATATTAATGCGAAGGTCATATCCACAAGGTATATGGATTCATCATCAGCAATAAATATACATAGTATACACGCACAAACTACAGTAAATTAACATGATTTACTTTAGGTATAATAATCATATCAATGTGCCCGTCGTACCCACAAGGTAAATTAACACGATTTGCATATAATAATCATATATACACACACATATACAAACTACTGTAAATTAACATGATTTGCGTATAATAATCATATTAATGTGAAGGTCATATCCACAAGGTATATGGAGTCATCATCAGCAATAAATATACACAATATACACACGCACATACACAAACTACTGTGAATTAACACGATTTACTTTAGGTATAATAATCATATCAATTTCCCCCTTCATACCCACAGTCGGTACAGGTCTATGGAGTCATCATCGGCCACAAATATAAACACAAACGTATACAAACTACTGTGTATACAAACTACTGTAAATTAACACGACTTACTTCAGGTATAATTATCATATTAACGAGAAAGTAAATTTAAAATTGGTACCAACATTTGCAGAGAAATTTCTCAACCTTTCAGAGCTGAAGCTAAAAACATGTAGCAACGCAGATGAAAATTATACTGCATGTTTGAAATTATTATCGCTTCAAGGGAACGAGCCTATAACGAATTGATTTATCCCAACGGCCAGATAAAGAAGCTTCAATCGAACAACAAACCCATTTCGCAAGCAGAAACATAAAACTATAAATTTTAACACGAAATAAAAAACATATGCGTACCTGTTTGCAAGACCGCTGACAACGAACTCATTAACAACGTAAGATATGACCCTGTGCATGAAATTTCCTCCGCCCGCCATGATACAATCTTCGAGCGCTTCTTGTAGACTAATCGCAACAATTAAAAAGACAACAAACTACAAAGATCGGAGAAATAGCCTATTATGATCTCGAATTAGCCGACGAAATCAATATATATATATATATATATATATATTGATATAAAATATTGCATTAATTCGACAAGGTGAGGGTAGAGTCATTTGATTTTGAACCATATATTGGATTAGAGAGAGAACATCAGGAAATTAAAGGGGGAGATCAAGTGATTTTACCTGAGAAAAATATGGTCGAAAACCCTAGTTTTCTGTCGAAGGTTGGGTCGCACCTAAGACGTGCGTTATGATAGAAAGGGTTATTTATAGATGGAAGGCGAACTGTGTGGCTAAGAGGCTGTAGGGCTCACCTGTTTGACGGCTGAGATTTACTGCGTCGATAAGGACTGTTTGGATACTTTCTTCTTTTATACCGTATATAGTTAAATTAAGTTTTATGACTCGAAAAAAGAAAATTAGAAGACGACGATACATTAACTCACCTTTCATTTCGAAAAGAGACGGGGAGCTATTAGGTTTGATTGTGAGTCGCCTTTCCTATTTTCCATCCGAGCGTGTGGTTTCAACTGTGGTTCTCACTCATCCGCCTTCAACGATCTCGTGATTTTCATGTCTTACAAGGGTGAGGGGGGAACTGTGAGAGTTGTTGAACTTAGTTTCAACTTTCTCCTTGCTATATCGAGGTTCTCTGTTTATCAGAGTTTAGGGTTGTTTTCCCGATGGTGTGGTTTCTATGAGATGGTTTCCATCTCTTCTTTCGTCCGTCGGTATGTAGGTTGTCTGTGGGGACAACTTGTGCGTGGCGGTAAGGGAGGAACTAGTAATGGGCTAACATGGGTTATAGCCAGGTCCAATTGAAAAAAAAAATTTAGTACTATTGTTTTTATAAGTCCATATACTACTCTTTCTTTTACTATCAGCCCAGTCTAATCCATTGAATTTCTATAAATAAAAGGAATTGTAAAATTTACAAAGACCAAGTCTTAAATATAAGCAAACCCACCAACCACGGACAAATCAATCACAAAATAAACTATAATAAAACATAAGAGGGCCTAGCCCGGTAAATAAAACACATTGTTAGTCTACGGAAAAAGACCTAAACTCTTCGTGTATAAGGCACGAAGGCATAGGTGGATGGATATCATGGATTATTATTGTTAATCCAGTGAAATATTGAATTTTATTTTTGTTAAAAGGGGGGGGGGGGGGGGCTTTGTTGATGATTTATTGTTAAATTGGGTAATAAACTATATAATGGATTAATAAATAGTCAGGGGCGGAGCACATAAGTCTGACTTTCTAATATGAATTTATTGATAAGGAACATATATATCTTGTATTCTTGTAAGTGTTTATTTTAATACTTGTATGAAGCAGACTTCAGTGGATTCTTGACTGTGAAAATACGTTAGAGTTTGGAAGTATAAATGTGTTAGAAGGTTGTAGATTATTGGGTATAATTAAATGAGTGCATGAGAATTTTGTATTTAGAGTATGAATGACACACTAAGTAATCATGGATTTAATTATTTTTAGCCCCCCCTACTTTGCAATCCTAGCTCCGCCCCTTCGTGGCGACTTGTTCGTGTGGGGTTGTTGCGTCTTAGCGGATTTGAGACCCGTTTTGTACCGATCTTTCCTTTTGATCCGGGTATTGCTCAAATCCCCTTTCTTTTTTGTTTAACTCTCATGTTTGCTCTATGCTTTTTGGTTTTTAGATGTCGGTGCTTGGCTTCGGTGATCCTTTGTGTTGCGGTTGTCTCCACCATTTTTGGGGATCATCCCTATTATTTCTTTTTCTATTGCCATGGGAATCAAGGCTAGCTTTCTGTTTTACGGGGCCGACGATGGATATTTATGCCTGATCCTTTATGGAGTTTCATTTTCTGGAGCAATTTGCGATGGGAGGGTGATATGATGCATAAGTGCCATGTGATGGAGTCCGGCGTCTCTGTTGCTTGTGCTGCTGTGCTCGGTGGTTCCTTGATGGGTCGGTTCCGGCGATCGTTCTATGGTTTTCCCGGTGGTGTTATCGTGATGTCATGGCTAACGTTTATAGGCCCGATATTTTCGATGTTATAGTTTTAATGGCTGTAGGCCAGGTCACTTTGACTAAGCTGTTCTCTTGTCTTGTGTAGATTTGATGATATCCTTTGGACTTTTGGTACGGTGGTTCATATACCTGATAATCTTTCCGATGAAACTGCCACCTTTTCCCTGGATTGTTAAGCCTCTGATCTTGACTATAAGATGTGGTCATTAGGTGCCTTTAGATGATGTTGTTGGTTGATCTTGTTTACTCCTTGTTTGTAGATGCCGTATGGCATATAACTTGTTTCTTGCCAAGAAAAAAAAAAAATTTGTGAGTAATGAAAATTAATTACTGAAAATTATGAAAATATGAAAAATGATACTTACATTGAATACACAGACTCAAAACTTAAGTTACTAGTGATGTGTCATTATACCTGTATTATACTTAGAAAGAGAAAATTTAAAAAATTAAATTATCCTTACAGAATCCCAATTACAAAAGAATCTCAATTATTATAACTCTCATTATCGATCTCTATCTCATAATCAAACCATTATTTATTTTATTCTCTCACCCTTTTCTTATTGCCATCATTGATTCCCGATACACAAATATATCACTTTACACTACTTAGGGCTAGTTTGACATAACTTTTGCTTCTACGTTTAGACAGTAGAAGAAGAGAAATGAAAGCAATCTCTTCCATTTAGCTTATTTGTCAATGTTTGGAAATTGTATTTTAAAACAGCTTTGAACGTCAAAAGATATTTTTTGTGTGTTTGGAAAAATATTTGGTGAATCTCTTTTACTGTAAAAATAACTGTTATACCTGTAACGACCCAAAAAGATACCAAAACAATAATAGTAAAAATATAAAATTTCGGCATGATCTCGGCAGAAAAAGTTCATCTACAACCTGTTGAAATACAAAAAAAAATACAATTGCCTCACTGGCCTTAAAAATAACTTATCATGTCCCAACGCACAATACAGATATTATGTCACATTTCCAAGATGGTTACATACATATGAAATGTCCCCTTCCTCTATCTCATCCAAACAGGGAATACATTTTAGTTACATCAAGTTACAGTCCATAAAATGTAGCTAGAATTTAAAAGTCCATAACTTACAATATTATATCAAATAAACTAAAGTTTCACAAAATAGTTAAGATTACATTTACAAAATATTAGAGTTCTAATACAAAAGATAGCAAAAGTAAAATAGATCCCCAAGCTCGTCTAAACTTATGGTGGATCATCGTCCGCCACCTCTTTTCCATATCCTGAAAAATGTTAAAAATAATGGAGTGAGCATAAGCTCAGTAGAAAGTGTCTAAGACACTCTTCTTATATCCCCGTGAATCCATATAATGAATAGATAAAAGTGAATGGGATCATGCCATAGGGAAACGCACATTCTCAAACACAATAACAAGTGTGTAACAAATATCAACCAATCACAAGTTTACCACAATGTCATGAAGTGCAATGTTATACAAATGTCACTCCCCATTTTTCAAAACATTTCCGTTTCAACTTCCAAATTGTTAGTGTAATCCGACCCAAGGCACCTCCAAGGCGTCACGAATGGAGGGTTGACTAACTATCCACGACCATAAAGCACCTCCAAGGCGTCACATCTGGTCTAGTTAACTCAACCATACTCCCTTCTAGACTACATTACCATCACGGACCACTAGACGCCTCCTAGGCGTCCGGTTTTCGTAAACTCTTTTTAAAAAAATATTTTTCCCAAGAATAAATTCATTTATTTTAAAACATTTTTTCCCCCTATTTCTTTCCCAATGGATACATAAATACTTCATTTCAAGTATAAAGTTTCCACATACTTTTTCAAATAAATTAATAAGTTACTAAAAATGGACAACTCATATTCTCATTCCACATTTTACTAGTAATTTAAATCAACAATTCATAAATTTATTTCCATACTTATAATATAAATTTTCATAACAATTGAAATAATGAAAACAAACCAATACTAAGCATGCTTCTTTACAAGTTAAAAATCATTATACTAATAAACCCAAGTAACACATAACACACATTTATCACCATCAATATAAATAACCTTAACAAACATAATCACAAAAAATTAAAATTAAGCATACTTAAAGTCAAATTAAAGGGAAAAATTGTTTACACCCCTTGAAGATCTCGCCGTGCTCTCCGTTTTACCGCAAACAGCTCCCAAAAACTCTAAGAAATAAGGAAGTAATCAAAAATTGAAATGGTATAAAATGAGAAAAAAAAAGGAAAACAAGGAGAGAAAGAGGAACTCAGCCCGAGTCTGGAGTAAAAATGACCACAAAATGATGTGTGTGATCTAAAATATGTTTAGTGCTTTGTGGGGTCCACAAAAAAAAAAAATCTCTTTTATACTTATGCACATTTAATAAACATTACAATACCCTTACATTCACGTGAAGAATTTTTGATGCTCAGGAACTAACCACAATTGAGAGACTTAAATAGCATAAAAAAACATCCTCTTATTTTCCATTAAAGCACAATTTTAGCATTAGAGAGCTAAATAAAATCTAAGTATCCTCTTATTTTTCATTAAAGCACAATTTTGGCACATCTTATATTGCAATATTGCATTTGGTGTTGATGGGGAACCAAAACTTACAGAAACAAGAATTTGGTATTAACAAATAGTTGTCTTTTATTTCAATCATAATATTAAATTTAGAATCAACAATAAATAGTGCATCTATCACCATCAAAATCCCCAATTTTAGAGTCTAACAACAAAAAAATTATTTGTATTATGTTTGCTTTTTATATTAAAATTAAATTGTTGAAATTTGAGAGAGCAAACAATTTGGCTTGTCGAGCAGGAGAATAAAGGATGAAGCCTCACCGAATTAATCTTAATCTTTCGGGTTAAAATTTTTACAGTTTTTCATTCACAAATCAAGTAAGAACAGAACTTTACATGAATGATTTCCAGAAAGATAGGAAGAAAAATAAAAGAAAAGAGCCTAGAAAAATGAAGTATCACCTGAAATATTGTGGGTCAAATCGACGTAGGATTGAGAATTAGATCTGGATGGTTTGAGTTTTTAGGAGAGAGAGTTAGAGTTGAGTTGCAGTTGTCAAAAGATAAGGAGTCCATGATTAAAATTAGGGTTTTGAGAGAAAGGAAAATGACCATATTGAAGCTTGATTTTGCAAGGAGGGTAAGATGGACATCAAAATTTTGCCAAGGGACTAAGTAGATATTCAGAGGCGATCTTGAGCATGAAGTTCCTCAATT